GGACTATACTACATGGGGGAGACGTGGTAAGGTGAGTTGGCCTTCTAAAACTCTTTATTGTGTGAAAGTATTGCTAATTTGGGGGCTTGGACCAGATGGTTAAAATGGTTAAAACTTTTACCAGAGCATAAGACTACTATAAGAGGGACAAAACAAATGAATAAACAAACCAAAACAGAAACCAACCAGGTTTTGAAAATCTTATGGGCAAGAGTCTTTTTGAAAATGAGAAAAAAAGGGAATAATGCCTGAAAGATGACCTTTTCCCACTTATTCTTCCTTCTTAGCTTTTTCCCTAATATTGTACATATGTGAGACAGAGGACTAAAAGATGAAGCAAATACTCTCTGAAAATGCAGTTGGAAAACACTGAAGTCACAATTAGAGTTATGGATGTACCAAGAGAAGGAGGCTTGGTTTTCAAATTTGGATTTAGTTGAAAGCAGTAGAGGATCAAGTACTCAACAGCAGAGGAAATGAGAGATAGCAAAGTAAACTGAAACCAAAATTCAGATTTTTATAGACCTTAATTACACAAAATAATCAATCCCCACTTTGTCTGAATAGCAGGAAAAAAAAGTGTAAAACTATAAAATCTCAATGTTGGAAGAAGTTTGAATTGAAATAAAAAATATCTGATATCCAACCAAAAACACAAAGACCTGCTACCAAAGTTCATATTAACCTACTGGATCCCACAGAACTGACTCCAAGGTTGAATCATTGACTCAATAGCTAGAAAATCATGTAATGGGTGTGTGAATGTGTACCCAAAATCCCAGGGGAGAATGGAGGAGAAGGGATTGTAGCATGGCCATTCCTCTTGGGGGAGGGTGTTTCTCACTTTCCTTCTTTTTCTGCCATTTGCTGTCTCTCTCTCTGGTGAGCACATGTGCCCCATAGCAAAAACATTAAAAAAAAATCATGCCATTAAACCTAAGGGGTAAAAACTGCCAATAGAAATAGTCTTACACTAGACCCACACAGTGGAGTTAACAGTTACTTTTAAACAACTGTAATTAACATGTTCAATAATAAGAGAAATTAATAAGAGTGAACTGTTAGAAAAACTTAAAGAAAAAATAGAGATAAAATGACAATTTTATAACTAAACAAGTCCTATTTTATAGCATTTGATAATGCCAAACAAAGAAGAAAAAACAAGGAATCAAAATTAGATAACATTAAATAGGAAAATAGCCTAATATAGGCATAAAATCAAAATCATCAGTGTTACATAAAATGCAATTGGCCTAAGAATTTTTAATTTCTTCTAATTTATTGACATAATAGTTTCATTATTTAAATATTTGCAGAATCCATAAGCATGACTCCTTTTTGTTCCTGGTATCAGTAATTTATTCCTATATTGTTTTCTTGGTCATTCTTACTTTTATTCATCATTTTATTAATTGCTCCATTTAGTCAACTTTGGTTTAGTTAGTTACCTCTATTACACATCTGTTTGCTAATTTATTCTTCAGGGCTTATATTTTATATTATCTACTTTCTATTTTCTTTAGTTCTAACCTGCTCTTATTTATCTAGTTTTAGAAATCATCAATTTAGATGGTTGATTCAAAATAATTTTTTTTACCTAATATGATTGTAAGTCTATGTTAGACATTTTCAAACTACAAAATTGTTTTCCAAAGTGTTTCTTCCAGTTTGCTCTCATTAGCAGTATATGAAAGTTCTGGTTTTATATCTTTTCTAACATTTGGCATTGATAGGTATGCAGTGGTATGTCATTGTGTTTCAATTTACACTTTTCCAGCAAGCACATTTTCATGCATTTTTTTTGCCATTAATATGTCCTTTCATGAAATATGTATTTGAATTGAACAATTTTCAAACTGAGATGTTTCCCTTTTTATTAGTGACTTACAAAAGTTCTTTGCATAGTTTAGACACAAGTCCATTGTCTCATATATGCATCGTAAGTACTTTCTCCCAGTCTGGAACTTGTGTTTTTTTCCTTCATAGTAATATTTTGAAAAGAAGTTTTAAACATTTTTTTAATGAAGCCCATATCTTCAGAGTCGGGCCTAAGTTGATCACTGGAACTCTATCTGAGATCTGTCTCACAGAAGGCCCACAGGGTCTGGAACGCAAAATTGTAATAGACAGACTTGACAATTGGTAAGATTTCCTGTTGCTTGAGGGATGCATTCAACTTTTGTTCTATTTAGGCCTCAAAATGATTATCCCCAGCCATAGTACAGAAGGCCCAGATTTTGTTATCAATAGAGTTTCAAAGATCTCCAGTAAACTTGTACTTTGGAATAACTCAGACAAAGGTAACTTTTGTACTTTTAAGGTGGTTCACAAGAAAAATATGGGGAGAAATGTTCACATATTGAAATGCTCACATTGTAAGCTAAACAATGTGATTGAATGTATATAAAAAATAAACTAATTAATAATAATTAAAAAAAGAAAAATATGATGTTCATTCTGTGCAACTAAGAAAATGCTTGAGATCTCGGTTTGTAGCTTAGAACTCGGTGTCCACCACACGGAAAGTTGGCCTGCCTGAGTCAGGCATTGACGAAGACCAAAGGCTGGCCTCCTTTTGTAGCTGGATCTCCATTAGTGCAAATATGGAAGTAGTGTCAGGAAGTTTGTGGATCCGCTCCCCCAGACTGAAGACCGAGGCTCCTGCAGGCAGTGGCTGGAGGGATGCCACACCCCTCACAGGGCAGCCCCCAACTGCTTCCTCTCTGCTTGCTGCCTGTCTACCTGCCTGAGTCATGCTCTCCTGCCCATTTATGCTGCCTGCCCAGACATCCAACCATTGGCCTGTCAGCCCACCCACTGGCCTCTCTACTGGGTGCTAACAAAGCTCTCATCACTCCTTTGCCTGGCCTGTCTGTCTGTCTCTGTCTTGGTAGTTGCCGGTGGACAGCATGGCCGTGCCAGCCTCCTACACTGAAGCCAGGCCTACCCCTCTTTGTCATACCTTTCCCCAGGACCACTACCCCATGGCCAGCCAGGGGTCCAGAGTTAGTGCAGGCTGGGGATCTCAACTCAGACAAGATGGTGGTGATGCCTTGGGTCTGAGGCTTCCCCTGCCTGCTTTCCTGCCTGCCCCATCTGCCTCTTGTTGTGTGGGCCTTTTTTGTTTGTTTCATTCATTGTTGTCTTTTTAAATTATTTTAATTGAGGTTTTCATTTTTTTTAAATGCAATATCTCTGTATACAGACTGGCTGAGCCCTACTCCCTGCGTGTGGCCCTCCCATAGTATTTTGTGCAATGAAGCCCTGCTCCCAGCCTTTTGGAGGCAGGGACATAGCCCCTATTCAGAATCCCAACCATCACCAGACCCTGACATTGGCTACGGGAAAGTATGCCTCAGTCACTCGCCTTCCTACCCCTACCCACCATTCCTAGCTGCAGGGGAATCTGGGGGCTACCAGAGACTCTGGGAGATTGGAAAAGGGTGGGGGGCC